TACCTCATCAAATACAGATTCAAAAAAGGGGTTTGGTTAAATCATAAACAGGTGTTTCAACAAATCTTGTTTTCTATTTATAAAAGTTTATATATTGTTAGGTTGGACTGGGGTGGGTGGAGTGGTTGGCTTAGTTTAGGTTAGGCAAGGTTTGACATTTTAAAATCTGCTGTCGAACCATCTTGGATACAAAGTGAACAGTGTATTACTAAGTGAAGTGTATTACTATGTGAAGGGCAGCAACAAATTATCAGGAGAAAGCACTAAGCCAGTATGACTATAGCATTTGGAAGGTTATATGAAAGGATCTGGGATAGGATGAAGGGTGGGAATGGTTCCCAACCACTGGGGATCGAGCACCGATCTGCAATAAGCGAGGCCATCGCTGAACTGACCAGTTCAAGTGGTTGTGCAGGAGATGGCTTGCATACAATTTTAAAACCTAATCAAAATATATTATGAATGTAAAACTTGTTTTACATGCTAGATGTATAAATTAAAAAATTCTAAATTTATTTCTTAAACGTCAACATATGGACGAAAAATCCAAGTCAGATAAAGTGAGTACGAAATTACCACACTCGAACCGCATCAGATGTTACTGCACATAAGAGAGTTCACGTGATTCTAAAACCTACCCCAGACATGCTAACCTGACCAAATAAACTAAATGTAGTTTTTTATTAACATTAGAAAATGAGCTATTGTACGAATTTCCTGTGTAGAACATGACCACAGGCTACACTGTCTTGTCAGGTGTTTTCACCGTGTCACCTCATCTTAATGATGAACAAAAATCCATTAACTACCTAGATGAGCCAGACTAATGCCATCTATTGCCTGCAGGTAGACACACCCACCACAACCATGGCCTGCAGGAACCCGGCCACTGTGTACCATAGTGTACAACTGTATACTTCAGTGTACCATAGTGTGTACCAGTGTGAACCATTGTGTACCATAATGTGCACCAGTGTGTAACAGTGTACCACAGCATGTACCAGTGTGAACCACAGCGTACCACAGCGTGTACCAGAGCGTGAACCACACTGTGTACCAGTGTACCACAGTGTACCACAGCAGGGTTCCTAGGATGAAGACAGCAGGACTAGGGCTCCGCGAGGAAGCACTGGTAGAGAAGCTATCAGCAGTTTAAACAAGGGCGGAGTACACACCTCAGCATAGCCAGGAACCTGAGGCACATTCAACTTGGTCAACCCTTCTGACAAGTCATTCACGTCAATCCTGCCGTCACCGTTAGTGTCTAACTTGCTGAACAATGCTCCCAGTCTCTCCTTCTCCTCGGAGGGCGTCTCGTAGACATGGTGGATGCGAGGGCTGGCGGGGACACCTTTGTTCCCCGGCATGGCGAGTGGCTGCTGGCACCACACAGGTCACACTCTGAGGCTCCGTCCCTCACCACTGGCCATCACACACTGCTGCTGCTGCTGCTGCTCTGCCGCCACACTCTGCTGCTGCTGCTGCACCCTGCTGCTCCCTGCTCCCCCACCCTCGCCTCGCACACACGGCGCTCTGGTAGCTGAGTGGACAGCGCGCGGGACTCGTAATCCTGTGGCCCGGGTTCGATTCTCGGGCCTGTGTGATATTATATAGTGTCTCTCCAGGTGTTCCACCTATTTAGTTTCAATTATTTTTTTTTTACTGTTTCGACTATTACACTTGTCAATGATACAGGTCTATAATTGAGGGGGTCTTCCCTGCTGCCATTTTTGTAGATTGGAACTATGTTAGCCTTTTTCCATACATCTGCTACGTCTCCTGTACACAGGGATGCCTGAAAAATCAGCTGAGGTGGAATGCTGAGCTCAGGTGCACATTCAGAACTCATGGTGAAACTCCATCTGGGTCAACTGCTTTATTCTTACTTAGCTCCAAGAGTATTTTTTTCACTTCGTCTCCAGACACCTCTATACTCTTAAGTTGTTCTCTGGAATTCTTATTATGTCTGGTTCCCTGCTGGATTTCCTTTTGTACAAACACACTTTGGAACTTTTCGTTTAATGTGTCATATGTCATTTTCATTTTTCATGAATCGATCTCCCATTTTCAACCTCTGAATATTATCTTTTACCTGCAGCTTGCTTTTAATGAATTTATAAAAAGGATCTAATTTACATTTGTCTGCTATACCGTTCTCAAAGTTCCTTTCTGCCTCCTTATTGTCGTGTAGTTATTTCTTGCATTTTTGTATCACTGGTATGTTTGGGGGTTTGACCTCTTCCTATAATGATTCCATGCTTATGTCTTTTGATCTCTAGCTCTCTCATAATTTCTGTTGAACCAACCCTTGGTATGAATGTTTGTTTGCCTTCATTGTATATTTCGCAAAATTTGGCATACATCTCATTTACTTCCTTGCTAGCAACAAGTCTGTCCAATTATACCCTTCACAAAAATTCTAAGTTCCCCATAGCGTTCTCTCTTGAAATCAAGTTTATCAACTGTTTCAATGTCCCCATTCTCTACTTGATTATATCACAAAGCATATTTAATGTCCAACAGGACATGATCACTCTTTGCCAAGGGAGGAAGGTACTGGATGTCAAATATCTCTTTATTCCTGGTGAATATTAGATCCAGTACTGACGGAACATCTTCCCTCATTTTTGTGGCCTGCTTGACGTACTCGCCTAATTGTGCTTGCGGGGGTTGAGCTCTGGCTCTTTGGTCAAAGAGCTGAGCTGGACGTGTTGATACATGAATGTTTCTAAAATGAGGTTTACAATTCTGCCTGTCCAAATGTCCTCTGTTCTTGCCTCGTAGGTCTCCCAGTCTATTGCCTTAAAGTTGAAGTCCCCCAGTACCAACAGTCGGGAGTTAGTAACAGTTGATTGACAGTTGAGAGGCGGGCCGAAAGAGCAGAGCTCAATCCCCGCAAGCACAACTAAGTGAATACAACTAGGTAAGTACACACACCACATGCAAAGAAGGAAGAAAGAATGGTGGATAGACTGCATTTTCTTAGACTGTCAAAAAGCCTTTGACACAGCACCTCACAAAGGCTGTTACAAAAAAAGTTGGAGCAACAGACAGGAGTAAATGGTAAGGTGCTCCAGTGGATAAGGGAGTATCTAAGCAACAGGAAACAACAAGTAACTGTGAGGGGGAGACATCAGGCTGGTGAGATGTCACCAGCGGAGTCCCACAGGGCTCTGTACTTGGACCCATCCTGTTTCTAAGATATGTAAACGATCTTCCAGAAGGGTAAAGACTCACTCTTCTCAATGTTTGTTGCTGATGCAAAAATTATGAAAAGAATCAAGACAGACGAAGATACTCAGAGACTACAGGACGACTTGGACAAACTGAAGGAATGGTCTAGAAAATGGCTATTAAAGTTCAACTCAGGAAAGTGTAAAGTAATGAAATTAGGCGAAGGGAGCTGACGGCTGAACACAATGTACCATCTGGGAGGTGAAATCCTGCAAGAATAAAATAGAGAGAAAGATCTGGGGTAGGTATTTCACCGAACCTGTCCCCAGAGGCCCACATCAAAAGGACATCATCAGCGGCATATGCTAGATTGGCCAACATAAGAACTGCCTTTAGAAACTTCTGTAAGGAATCATTCAGGACCCTGTATACCACTTATGTCAGACCAATCCTGGAGTGTGTAGCTCCAGTCTGGAGTCCATACCTAGTTAAACACAAAACAATGTTAGAAAAGATTCAGAGGTATGCCACCAGACTAGTCCAAGAACTGAGAGGTCTAGGCTAAACCTCACGTCCCTGGCAGACAGAAGAGTAAGGGGAGACATGATAACCACCTACAAAATTCTCAGGGGAATTGACAGGGTGGACAAAGACAAACTATTTAGCACAGGTGGAACAGGAACAAGGGGACACAGGTAGAAACTTAGTACCTAAATGAGCCACAGAGACATTAGTAAGAATTTCTTCGGTGTCAGAAGTTAACAGATGGAATGCATTAGGCAGTGATGTGGTACCTGGTTGATACCTGGTTGATGGGGTTGTATGGTGGAGGCTGACTCAATACAGTTTCAAATGTAGATATGATAGAGCCCAGTAGGCTCAGGAATCCGTACACCAGTTGATTTACAGTTGAGAGGCGGGACCAAAAAGCCAGAGCTCAACCCTCGCAAGCACAACTAGGTGAGTACACACCCTCACCTTGCACGCGTGCACACACCCTCACCACGCACGCGCGCACACACCCTCACCACGCACGCGCGCACACACCCTCACCACGCACGAGCGCACACACCCTCACCACGCACGCGCGCACACACCCTCACCACGCACGCGCGCACGCACCCTCACCACGCACGCGCGCACACACCCTCACCACGCACGCACACACACCCTCACCACGCACGCGCGCACACACACACACACACCCTCACCACGCATGCGCACGCGCGCACACACTGCACAATAAGATTCTGGTGCTATGAGTTCATTGTTTATCATTATACACTTGGAGTGCTTGAAAAATAGTAACTAGTTAAGGTAACTTTGTAATGGAAATGAGGTAGAAAGAATTCTCTTGATTAGGCTTGAAATTGGACTTATGTCACTGATGATCCTTGACAGTTACATAGCTTGTTATAGTCAGAGTTGTTCTTTACTGGATCGGGAATTCCGGGTTCGAATCCCAGGTGGGACACGCATGATTGGGCGTGTTTCATGCCTGGTACTCAGCCTGTTGTGGGGTTGCATCCTGGGAAGGAATCAGTAGTTTGATCTTAGGTGCGGGGGATGACCTTGATATGAGCCTGATATGTATCTATATACACTGGCTGCCTGTCCCCAGACAAAATGAATTATTATTAATCGCCTGAAACGCTTTAAGGTACTGTATATTGTATACTAGCTCTATCTAGAAATCCAACATTCTGTTTGTAACTCATTTTGTGTGTATGCACTTTTACCTGAATAAACATTATTATTATTACTCATCAGGGCTGAGTCTAGTTTAGATTCAGTGAATAGAAGGAAGAAATAACACTAAAAACACAATATTTTCAGAACTTTAATAAAAATACTATTATGATAAAATGGAATAGAAAAATCTCACAGCACACACCTTGCAACACAAGAGCAGCATGGCAAGAGAGAAGCACCCTTTTGGAAACTCAGCATTTTCAAATGGTTAAATTAATCAATAATAGTGTCATCTGAAGTTATGATACTTCTTTGAGTCCTTAGAGATACAGTAATAATTGTAATTTATCAGACTAGGATTGTTAATGACCAGGACAGTATGAACAGGCATGAAATTTACCTATGGTTTATCTAAAAAAAAAAAGTTAAATTACACTCCTCTTAATAAATACATTTGCAATACTGTATTTTATCAACTTAAAATTTGTGAATTTTAAGATTGAATGGCTGGTTATTATTCATGTTAAGCTTAATTTATAGCATTATAATGCAAATCTCGGTTATGTTGTTCCTTCTCATGTGGGAGAATGCAAGATAACACAGCACTGTGATTACATTTTTTTCAATTTATCAAAATACAGTACTGTACAATATAGTAAAATAAAGTTGGAAATAATGATTAGATTTATTTTTGTTTCCAGTGCTTTGGATGAAATTTAAAGTAACACAAGAATAGAACAATGATGAAAACTTAAAATCATTTGACATACTAGCTTCCATGTTGATCACATCCAAAGGTGAAATCCTGTGAGATGTTTGAGCAAAATGGCCTTTGCTCATTAGCAAGTTTAATAATTCCTGGTGCTGGGTACAGGAACATGTACTTAGGCTGATCAATGTCTCTCTAGGCCAACTACCAAGCTTCCCCAGGATGCAACCCATGACACTTGCCTATCAGGTATTGTACCTATTTAAATGTTAGGTGAACAGGTACATCAAGTGAAAGGAAACATGCCCAAGCAGTGCTGTCCTGTCCGAAGATTGAACCCGGGTTCCTCGATTCCAAGTCGAGGACAAAGTGACACCTGGATTCAACTGCCAGTTCCCAAATCACATCCAGCATCTTGAGATAAGCTTAATAATGCTACCTGCTGTGTGTTTCTGCAACACAAGATCATGTACTGGCTATATTCTAAAGTCGAGACCAGAATAATTAAGGCATCTAAAATCATTGGTTAATTTTAGGCCCCAGCCAGTAACTGGAAAACATTGTGCTATATATTCTTCGGAATTAGAGCAAATAGAATACCGACATGTTTAATGAATTGTACAGTATTACAGTAGTAGACCTATTTTTAAATTGTCAAGTACTTTTCTAGGGCTTTTGTTTTACAGACATCATCATCTACGTATCCTGGAGAATGCTGTGAAAATCCACTGAAATATGTCTTGCTATTATATGTGAACCAGTGTTCTTACTGTGGGCCACGAGAACCAGTAAGTACAGTAAATGTAACTAATCTTTCTGCTACCATTGATGCTGCCTGTGCTTGTCACATCTAGTCCACCTTTTAAATTTTTACTAATTTGAGAGTTGCAAGTATATAATGTATAGCTACATTTTAGTATCTCTGCCTTAAGAACAACCTATAACCTTGCAAACACACAACATAATGGTCCCTATTGTTACAACTTGTTATAAAGTTTTTGTGGCATGCTAGAAAGTTGTTACAACGTTATAGTTTTGTCGTGTGTAGGGTGGGAACCAACCAGATATCTTATAATGGAATGTAATTGGAAACTGCCATAATACTAGCGCTATGGATGATATTTGTATTGCTCAGTTAGCAAAGTGCTGCCAAGTCTGGACAGACACTGAATGGATGACCACATGGCTATAATTTTGCCCTTAGCTAGGGGGAAACTTCACAATCAAATTAAGAGCTTTCAGTTCCTGAAATGGTACTGTACCTCAATATGGTTTAATGCTTCTTTATGACACCCTCGATAATGTAAGGTTTTGCTATTTTGAAACCAAGAACAATTATTACTTTGGCTACAATCTTTTTTTTATATACATGACAAAATGTACTGAATTAAATTACAACACTGTGTGTCAATATTCGTTACGGTCACTGAATTTCCAATGTTTGCATACCAATCTTATAGAATGCAAACAAAAACCTCATCTTTCTATCACTAAAATGTACTTACAACTTTTATCTACTAAGAGTACCTATAACATGGTGCTCATCATGTGCATTTTTTATGTACAAATAGGACAATTTTGCTTAAACTGATGCTGCTAATACCAGTTACAAGGCTTAGTTTACATTCAATGCTCTTTCTAAGATGATATACAATAGCATTGAAAGACTTTACAAAATACATAGAAAATATTAAGTAAAATTGGTTTATATTTTTATTATAACAACTCTTGAAAAAAATATCACAACGATTTCTTTTTTACGATTAGCATCAATATGAATTTTCCCTTTTAAATAAACATTAGTATAAAAGCCCCGGCGCACAGTGAATCCAAGCAGCCTTAATGTGAACCCACCTTATATGCTTTTGAAATCATCCAACCTACAAAATGCAAAAAAATAATAAAGCATTTCTCTCTAGGAATAATATTACAATATAGTGTGTTCACACTTAGATACACTACTAAACTTTCACACAAAACAGACGAATGCATGCAATTATATTAGCCATTAAAATTTGACTGTGGGCCATTGATCACGATTTATAACCTCATACATGCCGATTACAAATCTGTAATAAATGATAGATAAAATTTTGTAGTTCACATTTAATAGTGACACATCTCAAAGTATAAGATCAAGCACAGATTACAGCTTCATTGTTTTAATCATCCCAGTAAACTGGCAAATATATTCCTTTGTATTAACACTCTTGGGTTTAGGGTGTATTTGATAGTTCCCGAGACAGGATACAGTTCCCCAAAATATATTACTGTAAAGAATATTCATCAATATCAGCCTCAACTTCGTTACTGCATTAAGTCCTACAGCCACATGTAACTTAACATAAGTAATACTACAAGAAAAAATCTCATTTCAACAACACACTTTCCCCATTAGATTCTTGCAACTTATTTTCAAATCATTTATTCTACTATACTGTACTGTATAGGCTTTTTATATTTAATAAAAAAATAACATTATTTTGAGTAACTCAGTAAATTGTTTTAATTCACTGTTATGCAAGCAGGTTTTACACAAAGCCGTGCTGACAAGTGAAGAGCACTAGTGTTCACACGAGCACCAAGTACAGTTGGACAAATCACACGACTTCGCTCATAATAATAGTCAATGATGCCACCTTGTTATATGTAAAATTGTAATAGATATAAAAAGGCAGTGTTTATCAGCAGCATTATTGTCATATTGTCAATGAAAAATAGAGTAACAAGACCAAACGGGAAAGTATGACCACTACCTTGATGGTGAGGTGGACAGCTAGACATAGTTTAATGCACTAAGAATGAGCCACGCATTGCCAAAAGGAAACCTAAAGACTTCTACATTTTTGGTGATAGCGAAGAAAATACTGCTAATGACACTACAGGTATAAACAGCACCACCTAGTGAAACAGTTTTCCTCCTTGAAGCTGCTCTATGCTTGATAAAGAATGTGACCATGAACGAAGACGCAGCTTAAACGCTCACTACAACATGCATGTTAAGAGAGCACATTAGGCAGGGAAAATATTTCGACATTTAATCATTTAATTCGTTGTCTGGGACTGGAAGCCTGTACAGTATTTAGGCTTCTCCATACACCTTCTTTAGGTCTTTATACACCGACTTCTAACCTTCCCCAGCATGCAATCAACAACAATATCCAACTTCCAGTTACATATTTACTGCCAAGTGAACAGCGTCATCAGGTGATGGAAAAGCTGCAAACTGTTTCTGCCCTGCCCAGGGACTGAACCCGGGTCTCTTGGCTGCGAGCCGAGAAAGCAGACCACTGCCAGGTTGAGTTTTACACATATGGCTGAACAGTGATCATTTTAAAACCATGCCATTGCATATGTGGATTTGTTTTACAAGCTTACATGTTTTATTGAAAGTCACCACACACATACAACTAATTTTGTGAAAATTTTGACATTTTATATATCTATATATCTAACTTGAAATATATGGACAGTAGTTTGTGTGATATACAATAATAGGACAGCAATGATTCAAATAAATGTCTAATAAAAGTTATACGTGTTTATTTTTTTAATATCCAACCTTACACACCTGACACAGCCAACTTAATAAAAACTCTCCTAGTAAGTACAGTAGCTAAAACTGTTTATTGCAAGATATATACAACTCATATTACTGTTGAAAACTGAAATATCCAATGAGCACAAGACAACAGATGAAGAATGGTTATTTTACCCATAACTATACACAAGTTGTGGGACACTGCAACAATCTTAGAATAAAAGATTAATGGTGTTAAGTGAGGTAATGATCTACAACCGGTCTCGTTCTGTGCAATGATTCAAAAGTTCTTTGTCCTTTATTTTGCACTATAACCATACAATTATGTTGGTTAGGGTGTCTATACAGTTATAAGCTTTCCTGAACACAGGGGACAGGGATGGAACTTTTGCAAGCCACAGTGTTCAACTTGACTGGTAGCCTCCATTTCGTTTAGCAGGTCCAATATTCTCTGTACAGTTGGACTCTTGGCTGTTGTTTTCTTTGATGAATTTTCTTCAACGTGGCATTGATTAGTGCTTCTAGATGCATTTGAGTCAGTAGTGGAAGACTTACTTTCTTTTTGGAGTGGCTGTACCTCCATGTTTACAGCTTTTGTTGTGTTTATTGATGTATGTTCGGTAGCCTCTTCTTCACTACTACCATTGATGAGTGGAACTCCACCATTCTCTGTTAAGAACAATTACAAATAAATTACACAGACAGGCACAAACACATGCATGAACACATATTGTAATATGTACACGTTACTGAATATAACTAAAAGAGTAAGATTGATGAGTCTGACATGGATTTGCTCTGTTTCTTAGTTTTCTAACTTGGGAAGAAAGTTTAAATGAACTCTCCAAAGTTAATTTTACACTTATACTGGGACTGATATATTTTACTAAGTACTATACAACATAGCATTTGCAGATGCAGAGAGGATGTGAATCCTTAAGATCAAATACTATACAATAATATATAGTCCATGCAGGTATGCTGAGAGGAAAGGTTATCTTGTCTAGGGAACAGGTTCATTATTGGTCAGTTTAGGTAGTGGGAGGAGCATCACTTTCTGTTGTGCTGAACAAAAGGTCTAGACTCTACCAGCCCAAAAGGTAAGGGCAAGTACTAGCTTGGTTAGTACTCACTAACTAAGTTTTGGAACTATCAAGATGCACAAGCCAGGAAATGCACTTTGTTCAATTATCTGTCAGATATCTACACCCACACACAGGCTGGCTAAGCAACTCGACACACTATTGGACTTAATTTGTGTCAATTGTGTTTCATCTGCCATCTTAACCAACTAATGAAAATGCAAGCACGGAAAGTGTCCAGATGAAAAAGGATATCAAGGATAGAAATAGACAATGTACAGAGGAGATGGAGGAGAGGGGATCAATCTACTCTGATTCAATAATTTATGAATTATTGTAATTCAATCTAAGCCTGAGAAGCACACTGTAAATTAACAGCATGTACTGATTATTAATGTTATAAAGGAGCAGAAACTTTATCAAATACATATTTAACTTACCTGCACCATGCATGGCTGTAGACTGACTCTTGATAACCCGAGTCATTTTGATCAGCTTCTCTTGGTCGGGTCCCTTTTCCTGTGCCAGAGATGCCATCAAGTCCTGCAACACCAGCAACAGTTAACTATTAAGCCGCATCTTAATTCAGGTAAAGAAACTTTCCTACACATTTTTCAAAATATTTAGCATTATTTCCTGATTTTGTTACATTTTAACGAAGGCTGATGATCACTCGAGAGTTATGATGATCACTCAAATGATGATCATTTCCGAGAATTATTTAAAAATTTAATCGGCTAACCAGACCAGCAAAAAAATAGATAAAACACTGGTTATTTTTTTGGCTGCTGCATCCCAAATTTTTGTTATTTTCACTAAGGGCTTATAGCTTTTTTAACTAATACAAGACCTGCTCTTTCCATCTAAACCATACAAAATCATTACCTTGACTATACAGTAATAATTACACTTTTCAGCTATATTCCCCTCTTTCAAGGTAAATTAAAAAAAATGCTACATTGGATATTTATTTGAAGGCAAAATGCCAAGCAAAACAGATCACAAGAACAATAAGAAGATGAAAACCAGAAAATATTTGTCTAACCTGTAAAGTTGCAAGCTTAGTCCTCATTTCCTCTCGCTCATGCATGAGGCTAGACAGCTCTAGTTCACGCTCTCGTGCCTGTTGTTTCATCACTCCTCGCTGGAACTGGTAAATTGTTATATAATCCCCTGGGAAAAGCAAAACAAAGGGTATCAGTACTGTATAGGACAAAAAAAGATATGATCTTGACTAATGTACAATACTGTACTAAGAAATGGATATCTAAGCAAACTTGTTTACGAGATTTATTTTGGAGAAGCCGAGCAAAAGGCGAGAATTTGCAAGTAGAAATGTGACTTATCGTGGTTGTGGTATAAACAAAATATACTGAATCGGTTAATTTTTTGAACATTCTTGATAAGAACGTAAGTCAAATGTTTGGCTATCTCGAATAAGGGTGGGACCCTATATAATACAGATTGTGAAGCATAGACAGTACTGACCTTCCCCAGGATGCAACCCACAATAATTGTCTACACTCCCAGGTACCTATTTTACTTCTAGGTGAAGAGAGCTATCAAGTGAAAGGAAACATGCTCAACCATTTCTGTCCTGGCCAGGGATTGAACCTGGGTCCCTCAATTGTGAGTCGAGGACACAGACCACTGGACTACAGCACCTCTTATTCTTGTTGTGTTGGTATGGAATGTTGACTTACCGTTACAGTGTATAATCCTGTCATTGGTAAACAGGCTCCTCTTCTGCACTTACCGGTAGTTGTATTTTTTGGTAATTTCTCTCCATTTATGTACAATAACCTAAGCATAAAGCAAATTGCTGTACACAATCACTAATGTTGTTTTTTGCCCGCATTTTCTACTGTACATGTTAGTAGATTTGTGAGAAAGTAACAATCAGCAAAACCTGTAATAATGCAACCAACTGTAACCTCTATTACAGCACAGTGCTGTATATATACAGAAAATGAAAATGAAGGAAAATTCTTGTATAAATATAAATGAGTGAAACTACTGCACAAATAGTACCAGACAAATTCTAGAACAAGAGAGCTTTCCCAGTGAGTCCTGGCCACTGGCACTGACTCCATGTTGCCTGCTCTACACACACACATTTGCCAGCCTTAAACTTATGGACAAAATTGTCCTAAATGTTTGCCTGGTACGAGACTCAAATAATCCTTAACACTGCCATGACTGCATTTTTTATTTTATTTATATAGACAAGAGTTCTTACATTCTTATAAAGCCACTAGCATGCATAGCGTTTCAGGCAGATGGTAATTTGGGCATTTCATAATGGGAAAAATTAGTATGGATCACTAAGATCACTAAGTGCAAAGGTAACTTTTCTAATTTAAAACTAATAATACTTATAGCTAAATTATTAACTAACAATCCCACAACAAGAACAGAAAATCTACAGATCTGTTTGAATTACATTCCATACCTATAGTTTCTGTCTCAAGCTGCAGTTGTTGTATTACGTGTTCCAGACGTTGTTTGTCATCACTCAGCTCCGCTACTTGCAACATACATCGACTAAATCTTTCTTCCAGGGCTTTATGAGCTTCCTGCAAGCTCTTGAAACTTTCTATTGATGAATCTTTGCTTGTTGCTGCTGAAATGCAAGGAAAATAAAATCGTTATTGAACAGTACTGTACAGTAAGGCAAACAACTACAGAAGCTGCATTTGCTTCCTCCAAATTAATTTAGTTACATCCATAAATATGAAGTTTGAAAAATAGCCGTTAATGCAGCGCTTTTCAAAATACAGTATAAAACAGTAGATTTCTCAAGATTATGATGGCTGAATCTAAATCCAAAAATAAGAACATAAGAATAAATACACCTGCAGAATGCTTACTGGCACAAACTCATTCATACATAGTACAGTACTGTACATGTTTAACCTACACTTGAAAGAATCAAGTTGTTTTATGTCTATTGTGTTACCTGTACCAGGTAGTTTGTTGCATACATCAACCACACCTATTTCTAAACCAGTACCCATGCCTTTCCTAAATCTAAACTTACGATTCGGCCTCAAAAAGGCCTCGATTTCTCCCCAAGCCAACTATCAGGAAAGACCTTAGGACACTTCCAAGACACCAGGCTCTTGTTGACCTTCATCCCCACACAATTATTTTTGTAAATAGTCTTGGGGAGTGGAGGCAGGATAGTATAGTACTATACTGAACTGTACTCAGGATTGACCACACATATAACAAAAGGCAAAAACAAAAATTCTTAACACCACCCCTAAGAGCGTGTTGTGATTGACATAAGTTATGCAAGTTATGCAATTTGTCTGAACTACTAAAGTATTATCTGGATGCAAACATGTATGTAGTCCTATATTGAAATGCACTCCAAATGCTTAACATAAATGGAGCATCACGTGGATCAGACTTGGGACTAGTTTCATTTTTTACATACATCAACAACATAGATAATAATGGGCCATAAAATACATAAAAAATTTGCCAATGACATTAAACTAGGAAGCAAAGTTACAAGACCAGAGGAGCAGTAGACATCATTGGGAGTTTTTTTGAGTTTTGATCTGCGAAAGTCATCCTCACTCTGTAAGACAGTGAGGATGAGACACATGGGATGAGACAAGGGGTGATGCATTACGAGACAAGGGATGGGGACAAGTACTTCTGTGGTGATTTTTGTTTAAGCTGATTGTGACTTAATGGTTTAATTAAATGGCTATTGCAATTTAATTCTCATTATTGGGACAGGAAGCCTGTACTGTACTCGGGCTTACTGAGTTCCTGCTAGGCCAACTACTGATTTTCCCCAGTATTGAATCTATAAGTTCCCTAACTCCTGGGTACATATTTACTGCTAGGTGAACAGAAGCTTGAGGTACTATAAGGAAACCTGCCCAACTGTTACTATCCTCCTCACAAATTGAGCAAAGAGCGTAGACCAACCTGTTGGTTGAGATGTTATTACAGATTCGGAGAGGTGTTCTCTGACTGTGGATTCTTGTGACAATTTTGCACATCTTGCCTTCTCTGCATCCAGCTGAGACTGCAAATTGTTACGCTCCATCTCAAGTTTGCTTACTGATGATGTCAGTGTAGCTATCTTTGCCATCAGCTTTTTACTTCCATCATCATCATCATCATCTGGAAAACAAAAAAAAATTACATCAGTGGTCCATTCTTTTAAATGTTATGACTACAATATCTTGTAATATAAAACTCCTTCCCTGTTATTTCTCCCATTCTTTCCAGACTTTCCCTTCCTTCTTATTTTCCTCTGCTCTCCATCTTCACTTACCCTCCTTGCTTCCTCCACCCCCTTTCAAGTAACTTCAATTACTTAATAATTCCAAAATTATATAAAACCACTTAAAATCATTTAAAAAATTAGCCATGGTTCTTCACTGACCAAGTTCAATATGAAGCTTACTATTATATGCGTATATATATGCATTAGTTCCAAGTTAATGTGAAGGTGTATTCTCAAATTATTTTTAATGAAAACCAACCAAAATTTTTGTTAAATTGTTTCTGAAAATTGTCACTAGGGTGTTACACTGTACAATTTCAAAAGGCCCTTTTCTTGTATGAACATACAGAAAATGTTGTAAGGTTTAAGTCAATGCAATGAGGCATTTTCAGAATAAAATGTTGCAAAGCATGAAAACCAACATGAAAAATTAAATACTGCTTACAATAATGCTGTAAAAGCAATAACAACCATATTAATCATCTTTATTTGAGAAAAAAAAGCAATCCGAGATAGTACCCTAGGTTGCTACCTGTGGCAAGAGCCGAGTAGTATTGAAGGACAGTATGTACACGTAGTTTAACATAGTGCTCTGTCAGTCTCTGTGCATCAATGGAGAGCGTCCAATCATGTATTGAAAGATCTACAAAGCAATCTCTCGTAAGAATCTGAAAGCTCTTGAAAGCTTTACCATACAATCACACACATTGTTTTAAACTAACGAAACAAAGCTGTCGGAGAAATATAAGAAAATTCACTTTTGTAAACAATGGTAGACAGTTGGAACAAGATAGGTGAATAGGTGGAGGAGGTGAAAACCATCAGTAATTTCAAAGCGTTATATGACAAAGAGTGCTGGGAAGACGGGACACCATAAGCGGGACACCATAACTCTCATCCTGTAACTACACTTAGGTAATTACACTGAAGAGTGCTACACCTCAAAATGTTAACTGATAATCCCTCTGGGTGCTGGCCACTGTACCCCCAGGGTACTTTTTTTTTTTTTGCTGGGAAATTCCTGCACAGGCCCTAGCCTCTGGCTGGCCCACTAAGTGTCACTTATTCCTGTTTTACTTAGGTGGAGTATGAGCATTTATGACTCATATGGTAGCTTCAGTAAGATTTTGCCCTATGTGTTTAGCAACTACTTCTGTTCTGTTGAATCTAAGTTGAAATCTTAATGGGTCTGTAACTGTGCACTGTGTTAGGTAATGTTCCAGTGATCTGTCGGACATTTCTCCACAGTGCTATTATTCCCACATGACTTGGCACCCAGTTGATAAGTACATTACCCGATGGCCTTGACGTTTGAGCGTTTGCATTAATGATATGATATTTGTGATCAGATGGATGTTGTCACGTATGTGTTCTTGTTGCAAGGTTTCAACGGCAATTCTCGAATCTGTATGTATGAGAACATGACGGAGTTCCTAAAGTGCTGACCACTACACTCCAAAGATAAAATATAAGAAACATAAATAATAAACATATCATTACATAAACATTATAATTAAACTAACAGCTTACTTGGCAAACTTGTGTCTTGTGTAGTGTTTACATTCACTGACTGCAGACTTTCATCTTTCCCTCTTGCTTGACAACTATATTCTTCTATAAGGCTGTGAAGTTTAGAGTTCTGCTTTGAATATTCTTCCATTTCAACCTAAAATAAAAATATAAAACATGTGTTGAGATTTAAGACAGCAGAGGATTTGTGCGGTAAACCAGGAAGTGGTGGAAGATTATCGAATCATAGTTTGTCTTTAAAAATTGTTTAAAGATAAATTTTAAAGATTTAGTTCAATAATTGATTACTGGTAATAATTTATCAGGCACCCTAACAATGTTTTTCTTGTAATTTAACATAAGAGCCACCTAACATTTGGGTTAGGTGGCATACACATCTCGACCCGACTCAACCCATCACAATTGCCCAATGGTAAGAAAAGTCATTTTTCTAGAGCGTGTGTTGTAATAATCATCCATCATTGTACTACTGACCAAGGCAGATAACATGACTCCTACTATGACTGCACTATAGAATAGATACATATTAAGTGTTACCCCCAATCAATCTAAATGTTAACTAAATAATGAATTACTAAGTGATAACCAAAAAAATAGGTCGTTGAATGTAAATAAGCGCCACTTTCTGGGTGAGCCCCGGAGGCTCCCTGGAGCTATCAGGCTAATATGCAATTCATTATACCAGGGCATTAGTCAAAAGACTTCAGCCTTCTGGGGACCATGAGCCAGAACTGGCCTCCTAAGAGAGGTACAGAGAGCAATGGCCCTGGAATATTCCCCGTGATTGGGGTTTTTCCTTTTCTGCCATCAACCGGTGTTAGGCACCCAGAAAGGTAGGTATACAAAACATACCCCACATGGTAGGAAAATTGCTACCAAAAACTGAACAGAGGCAGAACTCCCTCAATTCCCAAGGAAACAAGCAAACATCACACCATGCCACTGTGCAGCCCCCCTGTTGAGGGAGGGGGGGTCCTGGACCCACTGCGTCGGCTACCTAACCTCAGTCCGAAGGCTAAGCATAAAAAACCAGCGGTGAATGTAATGAAACGCCATTTTCTGGGTGGGACCCAGAGGCTCCCTGGCAACTCCGGGGAGCTGAAGGGGCTCCCTCAGAAAACAAAGCGAAAACCGCCAACCAGAGGAAGAGAGGGTCCCAGGGAGCCACCGGGGCTTACCCAGAAAATGGCGTGTCATTACATCCAATACCAGTTTTCTGTGGGAAGCCCCTCCTGCTCCCTGGAGCTACATAACCAAAGATAAGGAAAAGAGGGACTTAACGGATATTGACCAAACAACGGGCAGCCAGGACCCTGTTCAACCTCCAAAATTAGCGGGCCCGAATATCAACCCAGGATATGTTGTCAAAGACGGCAGCATAAGCAGGAAACTTCCGAATGTCATGGGCACGATGAAAGACCGCAGGCTGGCTAGACTTAATAACCCTGCAGACAACCTGGGAGACACGAACCCTGGAATAGGGAACGAGGAAAACCGGATCAACCCAAAGCGCATTCCAGCAACAGAAGCAGAGGCGCACAGGTAACAGCGAAGGTTCATTTACCAACACCAACCCCCAGAGGCCAATGCCAACAGAAAGAGAGCCTTGAAAAACAATCTTAATCCGAAGGGGGCCAAGCATTGAAGTTTATAGATCAATGCCTCCTTTTTCAATTCACATCATAGGTTTTTGAGCATACAGAACTATAAATACTATATTTTGCATTTCACTTGGAATGGAAATGTATCTTTGTAAGTGGCTGGTAACAGGAGACCTTGCTCTAATGGATATACAGTATAGTACATTGTGATTGTTATATTAACTAAAATAAACAAAATTTCTTTCTGAAGAAGGATTACAGCTTACCTGAGATAATCTTAGCTTCTCTTCTAGTTCATTCACACGCTCTTCATATCTTGAAATTTCCTTGGTCATTTCTTGGGTATGTTGTGTCATCTGACTTGCATTATTCTGGCTTCGTGACAACATCAACTGTCTACCAAGAGATTCTCCATTCTCTTTAAGGGTGACAATCTCACGATCTTTGTCTACTAAATGTTGCCTGGTAAATATTACAGGAATAATATCAATATCTAATAAAGAAAATAATATCTTAATTAAATACATTTCTAAATTTGATTATACAGTATTAAATCAATGTCCAAATTTGTTTGAAAGTTAGCATTTTAATTTAAAGTTAATTTAAAAACAGCTAACAATATACAGTACTTCATAGCACAATAATTTCATCAGAATACACTGAAAATTAAATTTTGCTTCATTCAATTTAATAATTCCCATTGTTAGGGATGGGAAGCTTATACTCAGGCTTATCAAGGCCCCCCCCTCTCTCCCTAGATGCAACCCACAACAATTGCCCAACTCCCAGGTACCCATTTTACTGTTAGGTGAACATAAGCATCAGGTGAAAGGAAATGTGCCCAATATTTTTATCCTGCCTAGGGATGGAACCTCGGTTATTTAGTTCCAGTTCTAAAATGCTTGCTTCCTAGTAGCAGATTACTGGTGTTATCATCCATGGAAACATATGTGTAGGATAAGTACATGTAGCACCCTCTTCTCTGATGCTACTCTACTTAGGTCATACAAACAAATCACTCTTGCATTCTTATTTGGACTACTGTACTGTACTTTATTCAAGTAATGAGACCTCACCTTTAACTGGACTTAAAACATTCTGGAAAAAATTCAGTGCAGAGAAACAAAAATCCTCCCATAACTAAATCAACTTTCATACCAGGAAAATTTCAGGGCCTCACAACACTACCAACCAGATAGGACAAGGCTGTAGACCTTTAAAATGCTGTCTAAGTTCGCTTATCCAAACTATATGGGAGGGAATGCCAGACAAGCCAGGCATTCAGGCAAGTAGAACTCTTACAGGGGAATTCCAAAAATAACCATATTCAAAATTTTTTTGTACCACAACCACCATAATTCTTATTTCCACACACTATAAATAAAATCTATACAGTAATTTAAAAGAGAATCTTCAGCTTGCAGAGTCTTCTTGTAGTTTTGTCTTCCTGTGTGATACTATAGATCTACGTAAAAAAATTTAATTTACGTAACCTAATCTTTGGTTATCCGACTTTTTGTTCGGATATGGCGAAGTTTGGCAGAAAATTATCTGGACCCAATTTTATTTGGCTGGATAACTCATATATTTGGTTCAGCAGGCTTCTGATAACTGAGCTCATACAGTATTTAACAAATTATAAAATTTTAATCCAGATATTAACCTCACTGACTGTTCCAGGTCATGTTCAGGAAACCTGTAAGATTTTACCTTAGGGAACAATAGTGTGCTTTAGATTCAGAAAAAGAACTAACAAATAATATTCAATATAAAAAGGCAAATATAGCCTCTGTTTCTTGAAGGGTATAGAAAAAGATAAGTCAGCATTTTTAATGCAAATCTGTTTGCCAAAGTTCAATCCCTGTAACTGCCAGAAGGAAAGCAAATTCTAGAACTCTAGAACTGTGTGTCTTCCCTTGAGTACAGTATTAGTAATTATTATGATATTAGAGGTAAGACTTACCAAATGCCGCTCACAAAAGTATTTGTGTGTACGTCTGATACCATACTACTTGTGTAAAGGAAGAAATGTAGATGTTTATCTCAGAATGTTTGGTAATATGTTTATTGTTTGTGATGTGTGTATATATATGTATTAACACGATGTACTGAACGGGGTGAGAATAGCTTGAGCTACCTCATCCCTTTGTGTGTATTTTACATCAATAAACTTATTTCAAATGCCAGGTGAACACTTAACCCTGGTTTTTCATTGTGGTAAAGCAGATACATACTGGCAGAAGTGTAACAAAGAAGGTAGTTCTTATTACCACTATTTTATCCTGTAATGCAGTTGGCTCACAACAGAATGGTCCCATATGAGATGTTCCAACTAATTTTTTCATCCGATGCCTCTGTTCACCTAGCAGCAAATAGGTACTTGAGAGTTAGTTAATTATTGTGTTGCATTCTATGGAAAGTCAGTTGTTGACCTAAAGTCTAACGGGGTTTCTGTTCCTAACAATGGGAACCAATGTGATACCATTCAAATTATAGTCAATGTAGACACTGCTAGTTGGTTACTTTGCACAAAGTTAAAAAAACTTACTTCATGTTAGTCAAATCTTCATTCAGCGTTGCGATCTCTTGGTTGAGAGCTTTTCTTATATGCAATTCTTTTTCTAACTTCTCTGTCAGTTCTAATTTCTTGTTGCTCTGAAAATATAATGCATTATACATTACAGTATATCAAATCTTTAGACTCGGACACAACATATACTCTGTGTAATTACCTAAGTGTAGTTACAGGACGAGAGCTACGCTCTTGGTGTCTGGTCTTCCCAGCACTCGATCATCTAATGCTTTGAAACTACTGACAGTTTTGGCCTCCACCACCTTCTTATTTAACTTATTTCAACCATATACCACTGTTTACAAAAGAAAACGTTCTAATATTTTTTGGCACTAGTCAATCCATGTCAAATTTTTGTAAGAGGTGATCACATCACCTCTAGTTCTTCTAGCTTCTAGTTTTGGCATAAATAATGCCTTTAACCCTCGCTTCATAGCTCTTGTTTTTCAGTTCTGGAACTCATTTAGTTGCATGTCTTTGAACCTTTTATAGTTTATTAATGTGCTCCTTGAGGTCTTCTTGACATTTTTTATTTGTATACAGCTAGTACTGTCTCAGGCCTAGTTGAGTTAATATGTTCCATACGTACACACTATGTACACAACTGGTGAATTAATATAACAAGCAATCACATTATCCACTGTGTAATTATTTTATCCTGTCCAAATTACTGTCCATTGTAGGAATAAAATTACCAATATGTATTATTGTTATTAGCTCTTTTAGATTACAAAATATAATGTCTACATAAGAAATCCTCTCTGACCTCTGTCACTTACCATTATGATAAAGCCACTCTGTAGTTCTTCCAGCTGTTCTTTAAGTTGCTTATTTTGAGTGAGAGCACGAGCAGCTGCAACTTTGTCACTCTGCATGGCTGCAAGAAGCCGAGATGTGTCCACCTCTTCCGTTTTGTTACGTTCCATCTTCATTTCGAGTTCCTCCACAGTGTGAGACAGCTGGTCCACCAGTTTTGAAAGTTGGTTGTTATCATTTATCTGTATGATAACAGATATAGAAAATTGATAAGATAATAATTTCTTATTTTAATGTAAATACACAAGCCCTGACTAGAAGGACAGGGACTAAAAAAAGGGTCCATTTTAATTTTAAAGCCATTCCAAATGGTCTGACATTCCTTGGTCTCTTTTTAATTCTGAAAAACTAGAAGCAGTGTGTTATTACTGTGTTAAATTTTGTATTTGTAAATAACATAACTTGTGTAATTCTAATTTGAAATAGGAATAAATTCTGCACCGAATAGTTATTTTAAATTAGTGAGTTGTATACTATCTTTGCAGAAAAAATGTCATCTAGCACTCTATGGCAACCCAGATGATTTGGGTTGCCATAGAATGCCAAATTGTACATGGCTTGCAACAGAGCTGAGAAACATTTGGTAAGTCATTTGCAAAGTTGTTGATGTGTTATGGTGGTGTATTATGCAGCACTCCTGATCATTACAGGAGCCTATTGCCTTTTACTGGTATAATCTGTTGCCATGTTTCTGCCAGCGGAATTATAAACTGAAGTATTATCATTCAGAACCGATTTTATCATTCAGTATTATCATTCACAGCTCGGGAATAAAGAGGAAAACATTAACAAGCAACAACAGTAAGAAGAAACAAGTGTTAAAATGCTTATTTGAGAGAAATTAGAATGGTGCGTGCATGGTGTCTTTCATATGAATGCTGAGCATCTCTGTGGTAATTGTCCTGCAGGACAAGATTTATAATTCCTGTTCTTGGGGACAGGAAGCCTGTACATAGGCTTATCAAGGTTCCTCCCCCCCCATGCCAATCACTGACCTTCCATAGGATGCAACCCATAATAATTATCTAACTCCCAGGTCCTTATTTTATTGCTAGGTGAATGGAGGCCTCAGGTGAAAGGAAATGTGGCCAACTGTTTATGTCTTGCCTGGGGACTGAACCCAGGTCCCTGGGATGTGAGCCAGGGACCACTGTGGTACAGAACCCATACTTTACATATAATAAGTGAGCTAATCTGTGAATACTAAATACCAGCAGTTCACTACCACTTGTAACTGTCAAGATATATACCAGAGCAGCATTTTGTTCTTTTAACTGGAGCTTCTCTTCTTGTAATGTGGTAACAGACTGGTCCAAACGCTCGCTCTCGGCTGCCATTTCAGCGTGATTAAAGGATGGTGAAGGACTTGGTTGTGACACGGCCTCAAGCTCAGCTTTTGTCTCTTCAAGAGCCACTGCTAATGCTTCTTTTTCCATCATCAATTGCTTCATCTAAATATAAATATAAATATTAATAATGTAGTCTATCAGCATACAGTACGAAGTTAACAATATATCAGGCTAAGGAAAATATAATTTATAAAGGCACCATAATTGCAGGTATGTAACACTATCTTACAAGGATATTTGGTGGATTTTGTTTATTAATATTTTAGTTTAGCACAGGATGTTGATTTAATCATTTGTTCCAAGTGATTTTCAAGTGGTTTTATAAGGAAAACCTAAAATTTTGTTCATGTAAATACAATATAAATTTAATTGGTGATGGACAAGAACATGCATCCTACCTGCTGGCAAATACATAAGATATATAAACAGTTACTGTGACTTCACAAGTTGAACTGGTTACAGTGACATACTTGTTCTTGCAAACTCTGAGTCTGCGTTGCCAGTTGTGTGGTGTACTGCTGGTACTGCAACGCTATCTTAGAGTTCTCAGCATGTGCCTGAGAGAGAGCAGCTTGAGTTGCTTGAAGTTGTCTCTGGCTCTCTAAGTGAGATGCCTGTACCTTCTCAAGCTGTGACTGTATTTCTTCACTTGTACCATCTCTCAGCTATTAACAAAAAGACATTTTAAAACATATCCATATTGGAGTACCACTGCACCTCACCCACATTGCCCCCACTCTTCACAACTTGCCCTAACCTCATCACACCCAATAACATTCCCTCCTTACTTTTGCTCTGTCCCTAATATTCACCAATTAAAACAACCCACTCTTTCCCAGTCCTCCTACGGGCTCACCATAGCCCGTGCTACTTGGAACTTTGTTCCAGGTAGCGAATCTTTAACAACAACAACAACCCAGTCCTCCCTCAAACACCTCAGGAGTCTAGCACTGGGTATGCATGAACTAAAATAACGTCAGTGCCATAACCAAGATTGACTGTCATAAGAGCTGCCTTCAGAAACTTTGTATGCAACACTGTACATGTTGAGGCAATTTCACGAGATCTATTTGACTGTATGAAAGTGGATATATGGCAAAAAAGATCTTCAATTTTAAGTAGTGCAATCTCTTATAATATATTTACCTACTGGAAATATTAGCTTTTAAATGTGGCCTCATTTCTATAACCAGTGCCACTTGCTCAACAGAACAGTTTTCATATAAATGAGATGGTGGCCCATGGGGAAATTTAGGTAAATATTAATTCCTGTGGTTGCGGACAGGAAGTCTACACTTAGGCTTACTGAAGTCCCCCCCCCCCCTCCTTGACCAATGAATGATGTTTCACAAGATGCAGCCCACAACAATTGTTCAAATTGTCCCAGATACTTATTTTATTGCTAGGTGAACTGAACAGAGGAATTAGACAAATGAAAACTTGCCCAACCATTTTTGTCCAGGCCAGACATTTAACGCAGGTCCCTTGATTGTGAGATGAGAACGTAAACCACTGTGCTACAGGATCCACCAATATAACGTAACTGACCCATTTATGCAAGAAATTTACCTATTCTTAAGATCAAATGCATGCTAATAATTTGAAATACTAAAACAATCAGATGCCCAACATTCTATGCCTTACCTGCTGTACATGCAGCTGTGCCATGGCCAGCTGACTCTTGGTATCTGTCAGCTGGGAACACAGTTTGTCATAATCACTAGTCTTCACACTTAGACGCTCAGTCAACTCTGCAACAGATGCTTTCAGGTCTTCACTGACTTTGCTGCAGAGATGATTGTCCAATGTAAGGTGGCAAAACAAGTGTCCAATGAAATCTGGCAAAAATGTAGCAGCGCCTCACTGCTTTATAAGACCAGATAAACAGTGTTCTTCTTGGACTATTATATTCAGTATAGTGTAACCTTGCAATTATATTTGATTTTACATTATTTATAATAAATAAATTGATGCAATTCTACTCACTTGGTTTTGAAATTTGCCATCTTGGAAGCATCAAGCTCTTTTGAAAGACTGTCTTGTAATGATTTTGCAGCAGTACATTTTGAAGTCAGATCTTTAAGACTAGCTTCAAGTTCCCCTACACGCTGGCGTGATGCACTCAAACGCCCATCAAGCTCTATTACTTCTCCTATGGGTAAACATGAACATTGAAGGTTTACCTTCTGATAACATAAACCTTGAATATATTCAAAATTCTATGGTAGATATGAGGACGTCACAGTATATGAAATATAAAAACCAGAAATTTACCGATGTGATAATTCACTTTTGAGAACTTTCTGAAATCTAACATTTCAGTTGTGACTTGATAAAGGTCCTGGGTGATTTATTCTCTGTATTTTAGACTGTTCCTTTGAGAGAAATGTCATCCAAAATAGTTTCTCTTCCCACACTATTTAGGGAGCCGGTCGGCCGAGCGGATAGCACACTGGACTTGTGATCCTGTGGTCCCGGGTTCGATCCCGGACGCCGGCGAGAAACAATGGGCAGAGTTTCTTTCACCCTATGCCCCTGTTACCTAGCAGTAAAATAGGTACCTGGGTGTTAGTCAGCTGTCACGGGCTGCTTCCTGGGGGTGGAGGCCTGGTCGAGGACCGGGCCGCGGGGACACTAAAGCCCCGAAATCATCTCAAGATAACCACAGTGATCGTTACAGTGATAATTTCAGCAGTCACTGCTCTATATAACCATTTCTACTAACCTGACTTTTGTTTGAGAGCATGATTGGCATGAGTAAGATTGGACTGCAGCTCTGACTTCTCAGATACCAAAATGCCAATAGTCTGAATATGCACCTGGAGCTGTTCTCTCAAGCTCTCCACTTCTCTTGCTCCTCCACCTGCAGCAGAGTTTATGACTGCCTGGGCAGCACTCAGCTCTGCTTCCAACCTCTCCAGCTGGGCTTTCTGTATGGTAGAAGAATGCCTATTATTAAATACTTTAACAAGGAACTTTTACAAATGATTGTTAAAATGTAAAATACACAAGATGAATTTACAGTACAAGAAAATTATATATAAAATTACACCTTTCCATGTTTGCTTATACTGTACATTATGTACCGTACTTTTGTTCTGGTAGGTTATTACAGTACAGAAGCAGCTGATGCACACTACAAAACACCTAGGTACCATAACAGTAGGGAATCCCTGGATTGTTTACAGCTTAGGTGAAGCATATATATGAATTTGAGGTGGATATAAATAGGAGCCGCCTCAAAATGGGCCAACAGGCTTTCTGCAGTTACATTTATTTTTGTTTTAATTGAAAACTGCATCTGGCCCCCCTCAACCACAGGAAAGAGCATGCCGTCAATAATAATAATAATTTGATGACCGAATTTTAGCCCAAGGCCAGGTGTACGGGCTTATCAACATTCAGTATTGTATTTCAAGTATGCATATATATGAGATATTGTGCTGAATATAACACAATGTGCTATTTTACAAATGTAGTTACTGTATTTTAATTTCCAAGTCGAACTAAATTGCCAATCAGAGAAATTCCTGTATATGTATTGAGAATTTCTCTGGATTATTGCAGATTCAGACTCAGGCCTCAAAATATGATTCTGTTGTCCTACCAACCTATGCTATTGATTTCCAAAGAGCATGCCCAGCCACAGAAGCCAAAGCACGCAAGCTAATGCCGAAGATCCGGAACCAGACATACCACATGATGCATCCCGGCCCGACCAACCAAGCATCTATGACCCAAGGACCCCTCTGGAAAGCAGCCATCTCATTATTAGCCAGAAAAGAAGGAGAAGGCTGCAACCAAACAAACCAACAACCAGGACTTAAGGAACAGAAACCCCTGCACCGGAGGAGAGCATTTAGCACACCTATCCGACTCCCAGAGGCCAATGCCAACAGAAATAGAGCCTTGGAAAAACAATCTTGAACCGAAGGTGCCCCACGAACTGAGGAGAAGAGGATAGGAGAGCACCCTGTCCAAGGACCAGAACAGCTTAGGTGGCGCATGAGCTGGCCGGAGGTGAAACACAGCATGAGAAGGCTTACGGAACGAGGCAGAAGTGACATCCACCCTGAACGCAAGCTGCAGCATCTCTCCCAGTGCCGTACGATACGAGGCAACAGTATTAAGCATTAAATGACGGTCCTGAAAAAGCCAAGATAGAAAAGACAAGACAACCCAATCAGAAAGAGAAGACAACCTACAAACAGAGAGAAAATGGTGGAAAGAACGCTAGGAAACTTCATACTGCTGCCGAGACGAAGCTCTCAGGTGGGACACCATCAACGAAGCCACCTGATCACCATACAAATGGTGATAAACCCGCACAACTGCTCGAGCAACCGCCGAGTGACCCCGGAAACCCCCCAGAAACAGCTGAAGGAGGGAACCACAACTGCAGCAATGCCTCTGGAGGGAGAGACATAGAAGCAGTCCGAGAATCCCAAACAAGACCCAGCCAGGTCAGAGCCTGAGTGGGACAGAAACAGATCGGACGTCCTCCAGTTCACCAGGAACTTGAACCCGGCGAGCTGGGTTGCCCTGGTCTAATGAACTGTACATTAGCCCGATAGCTCAGGGAGCTGAAGGGGCTCCCCACATAAAATTTGTCACATTAAATGCATCAGTGAGGAAATCTATAGGAGCCGTAATGAGGGTTCGGACCTATGTGCTGGGTGTTCCCAGACACATGCTCCAGACAACCACACTGTACTGAAAACTGTACTAAAGAACTTCATTTTCTCATGTTAAGTGCTACAGAACATTCACCTGAACATTAATAAGAGACAAGACTTTGATCTACTGGAAACAAGATGAGTCACATGATTCAAAATAAATGAAAACAGATGGCAAAGCTAAGACTCTAAAAGAAGTTCAGTTTTTACAACTTACCAACTGGAATGTGTACTGTGCTTGTTGCATAGAGGTTTGAGACTCATTTTGCAAGAGAGCAGCCAACTCAGCATTTCGGCGTTCTAGTTCAGATATTGTCATGTTCGGCAATGCAGGTGCTGGTGAAAAAAAATTAAATTTCAGAAGTGTACACTAAAATTAAATGTTAAAAATAAATGAATACTGTACACTGTTCAAGAAACTATATGCACTATGCTGGCAAAGAACAAATACCAAATTAATGCCAAGATTATAAAATGTTATACTAAAGCCTTTTTCTTAGGAAAAAAAATTGTCAAGTATATTTGCTATTTTACATTCTAAATCCATAGGCCTACTCCAGTGACAGGTCACTGCTTTTGTGAGTGTGTGTGTGAAATAAAGGGACGAGAGGGGTGTATGGAGTGGTACTATTTTAACTTTACAGTAGTTGTAATTTTTAACTTGTCCATATCATGTCTCTAAAATTGACTAACAGCTTTATCTGTTAGTCAATGTTAGAGACATGATATGGACAAGTTAAAAATTACAACTACTGTAAAGTTAAAATTTGACCACAATTTATTGGAACAAAAAAAATTCAGCTGGCTAAATTATTGCCTAATCATTTACAAATTATTAGCCTCATCTCTCCTTCATGACTTTCAACATGCTACCTATTATAAATTTTACAACATGCATTTACATATAGTACTTCATTTAACATCAGCAAGCATTCAGGTCCCAATTCCCAACTGCCACTAATATGTTAAAAAGGTTCACACCCATTCAGCCTTTTCTCGTATCACTTGAATAAAAAATGGCAATATTTTCACTCTGCTCATTCCCCATGTGAGATTTACCTGTATATCTATACAGTACAATGCTTTACGAAATAAATTATTAACAGCTGCAAAAATCAGGTTTATTTTCATAACATTCACCGTGAGAATTCTTGTGGAAATAACTATAACTAGGAAATTTATTCGAATAATACCATTAAATTTATTGATAATTAAAATTGACTGATATTGTTATAACCCAACGAATTCTGTTACCATTGTAATTTCCAAATTTATTCTGAATTAGTTTTCCCCATTTCCTATTTTTATGGGATGGGGTTTAGGCAAGTCTTGACAAATATATAAAAGCAAACAAGGAAAGAAAGTTAGAAATACAGTGGAACCTCGTGTGACGAGCGCCTCAATTTACGAGCATTTTGAATAATGAGCGCGCTGATCGCTAACAATTTGTCTCGATTGGCGAGCACTCGTTTGATTAACGAGAAAACCACATGGTGCGTTCCTGCTGCTTCTTGCACATTCTCGGACGCCTCCGACGATGCAAATAAAATAGTTTTTTGTTTAAAGATGCTAATGATGCTGGAATGTAAAGGGGTGCCTGCTGTGATGTTGCAAAGCATTGACTTATTTTTGTAGAATATTTTGAAAAACAGAACATATGTCAAAAAGGTTCGTTCAGTGTTTGTCGGGTAGGCTGCTTCATTATTAATAAATGGATGAAAAATACAAAAATTGAACACATTTGAAACAAAGAAAGATTGTCATTATGGAGCATCCTACTCAACACACACTGAACAAACCTTTATGGCATTTGTCCATTTTTCAAATTTTTTCATTTTTTTTTTTTTTTTTTTTTTTTTTTTAAGAAACATGGAGCAGCCTACCTGACAAACACCGAACGAACCTTTTGCTATAAAAAAATGAAAACAAAAATGAACAAATCTGAAGAAAGAAAAATGTCATAAAGGTTTGTTCAGTGTATGTAAGGTAGGCTGCTCCATTATTTAAAACATCGAATATTATACCAATGTTTTTTTGGTGATTTCAATTAATTTGATTTCCATTATTTTAAATGCGGAAATTCGTTTTGAAAGACTAGCGTTTCACATAATGTGCTCGGTGCCGGAACGGATTAAATTCGTTATTCGAGGTTCCACTGTATTCAGTGTCACCCCGCACCATTCCATATGACTAAGTATAATGCATTCTTATGATTTGTCGTTTACAAAATGTGTCATAAAATCATTCTTAAATTGATTTTGCCAAGATTTTTTCTCACTGTTGCCCATGTACTGTTCACACCTTATACCTACATCCTCATGCACTCATTCATCATGTCTTGTGTGTTCTTCCAGGCATTCTTCTCCTTTTCCAACACACATTCGCTCTACATTATTATACTTCCTTCATTAAGTGAAGATGCCAATGCTAAGGAGCTTTGATTTGATTTTGCAATCAAATTGAATCCTTCCTTATTAAGCAGTGTTGGTGGCTCAGTAGGTTGAGCTGCTGGCGACTGTTTATATGGTTGGCAGTTCGAAGCTCCAGGTGAATGAAAAAATACACACACACACACACATGCCTTTCCCCCCACACGCACACGTAAACACTTTACATTTGACAATCCTAAAAATGCTCTTTTTTACAAATTTTGTTAAGCAGTCATTGAAAATCAAAAGCTAAAATTGTTACAATATTCTAATTGTTCCTTTGATTACATCTTTCATGTGCTACTGTGGTATATTTGAAGAGTTCCTGGCCTCTGTGTAGGTTGTTTTATCCAAAGACATAGGCACTATAGGTATTTTTAGGTGCAGGTGGCTCAACTATTACATGAACAACTATTACAATGGCTCAACGCAGTATACTAGCCAAGTACCAGTGACCATACCACACTAATTTAACATACTTTCATCATCATTCTATCATATTGTATATCCTTTGTGACACCATCCATCCATTACATATGGCCCCAAATTTAGTGCACTCCTTAATTTTACAAGACAAAGGCTGTTACACTTTACATCTCTCCATTACATCACACTTTATTATGCCTTACAAATATTTACAAAATTAAATTCAAATTTTTCCTGCTTCTCTTATGGAAGAGAACAAGTTAAAATATTATACTGTACCTGAAGCCTCACTTTCACTCATAAGGCCACTGAGTTGTAGGGATATTTGTCGTAAGCTCTCAGAAGATGATTTCAGTATAGGTCGGTCTTGACTCTCGCCAGTGGATACATGTATTGCAGTTGTCACACTTGCTGATGTTTCAGAGCTAACTGATCCTTCCCCCTCAAATACATCAGAGGAATCTGGCTGTTCATGTACAGAATTACTGTCACTGGGAAAAACCTCTGTACCTAGTTCCTCTTGAGAGAGGTGTAGTAAAGTGGTATCTGATGAAGTTACACGCTGGCAAGTAGGATTGCTCTCTCTCGTATAAAATTTTTGTTCGGTAGTTTCTGTCGGCTGGATGAATGGAACATTTGTGACAACCTCTTCGCTTACATTACATGATGCTTCATTGTGTGATAGCACTGGCAATGAGCTTGTACTATCAGAGCATGACTGGGGAGTTAACAAAAATGAATCATGGGTAAAAATTTTATTTTCTGCCACAGGAAGTTGAGAGGAATAACCAAGTTTGTTTACTATATGGCTTTCTTCATCATTTATCGTTTGTGTTTGTTGATCACCTAGTGTGAGCGTATCGTTTACTACAGCACAACTACTTTCATCTTCAACTCTTGAAGTTGATGATTCAAGCATACATACATCATTGTTACCCAATTTCCCAATTTCATGGGGCAAGGTAGAAGTTGATGATACATCAGATAAATCTAATTTATTCTGAGTCACGTGCGCTATATTTGTTGGTGTGCAGAGAGCTGATGAAGCTCCTGCTTCCATCTCCCCGTCTGTAATTTGAGTTCCTGGGTCAGAGGCATCAGGAAGAAATATTTGATGGATTACACCAGCTGAATATGTTCCATTCTCACCATTGGTCACATTCTGAGGAAGGGACTGTTTATGAGATAAGGCATCAGAATCCTCTCTAGAAGTAGGATCCTCTCTTATTTCAGTGAATTCCTCTGAAGCCAAATCAACCGAAGATGCACGTGATGAAAGAGTGCCTGACTCGGACTGTACACTTGATTCCTCTGTTAAGCTACCCTGAAAAAGCATAAAATAATATATAAATACCTGGTATATCCAGTATTGTGAAATAATTACCCTAATATTTATATAAAAGTTGTTAAAATAAATACTTAATATTTCACATGGTTGTCTATCTGCAGTTTCCTTCAGACAGTATAAACTCCATTTATGCTAACTCTGGTTTCTTAAAAATAACCATACCCTAATCCAATTTTGGATAACCCCTCCAATACTATGCGCATTTTTTTTCTAACAAGTCTCTTATGAAATACAGTATCAAAGATTTCGTTAAACAGAATCGAGAAAAAACTCAACATTGCTACCCCTCTTGTTAAATTAATACTGTACTTGAAAAATATCAATTTAAACACAAACTGGATTCCCTCACCTCTCTAACGTTATCTCATTTTTCCCAAATGTAAATACAGTACGCTCAGTAAAGGTCAGTAAATGACTTGACAAAAAGGGAGGCTGGGTGCTGGCTGGATCAGTATATACCAAACACACAAGCATATTGCACCCGTGTTGTATATTGAATGTTGCCAGTGAATAAAACTGTAGTGCATCTTCTAAAAAATTTGTTTTTCACAGAACAAAATCAGAATTTACTGTATACGGTAATTAATTTGCCGAGTTTGAGAGAAAATGTTCATGGAAATAATAATAAGAAATCAAATGCTCACACATGGTAAAAGAATAGTAGTAAGATGGTTTCATAGATTGGTAAGTATACAATGTGTACAAACCCTTAAGGTAGATAAGTATTATAAATGTAACTACTGTACATACAGTACACACAGTAAAAGCTCTTCTCATCATTAATTATTTGACCATGATCCAAGTAAGGTTAGCTTCTAGTTGGTAGCCAACATGGGTATTAAGAAGCAGTATATAATGAATGTTCCTCTGCTATGACCCACCTCCACTTCTGAGCCGCCATCCTTGCTGCCACCTTCAACCATGCGTTTTGTGCCTTTCTTCTTCTGGAACTGTCGTAACTGCAAATGTACATTGGAAGAGAGATCGTTCTTTAGCACTTCGGCCTGAATGACTAAAATGTAATACTGTATATTAAAAAATATATCTGAACTATTAACAAAGCAAACTAGTAGAAAAACATTATACAGTACCTCATGACTATCAAGATAATACTGCACTTGTAGCTTAATATTTTTTGCACATTGAAAACCTGCTAAAACAAGGAATTAGAAACAAATAATTCAATCTACCAAAGGGGCTTTCTACATATTTGTAATTCAAAAACTACTTTTATAAGTTTATTAGCCTACTAAGCTTAAAAATACCAAATACAGCATATTAAAAAGCCTATCATGTTCATGCAGTAAATTTCACAAAGGCTATAAAATACCAAATCTACAAATTTGGTATATGGTATATTTATTTTCTTTATATTTGTAAAGCACAAATACCTGTACATTTATGCACAAATGCCATATTTTTCAGCAGAGATGATGATGTAGATGGTCTACATAAGATGCTCCTATATTTAGCTAATAATAATATTTTGATGATAAACAATTTTAGTATTTTTTATTATACGATCTTAGCTAGGCACCGTACACGTATGGTGCTGGTTCCCATCCAGGTGTATTAGATTCAGGGTAATATTTTATCAGTTTTAAGAAAATTCTATTCTATCTTCAGAAAATACATTACTGTATATCTATAGGCATCTGCATATCGCAGCACAAACTTTTGCAAGACAATGCAAGTGTACAAAACATATGACTGTAAATGGAGAGCAACTTTCTGAGCAATGTCATTTGGTTGCCAGGTAAAGTAAGCTCTGCTGTCTCCTGCACAATGATTATGGTAGTCAGACAGGAGTCATTCTGAGCTCCCATGAAACTAGGAACTTTTCATGCAATCCCTGTAGTCATTTAAGGTGTTAAAGGTTCACTTACCTAAAGTCTGTATGGTACATATATTCATAATAACATCTAGAATAATGTACTGTTGGCACAATATTTACAAATTTAAGTAAAATGTCTTACTTTACATTACAATGTTTTAAAGAATTTCATACTATTAAATGTAAGTTTCCTTTATTAGTCTGTAAACAAAATTGTACCATAAAAATGTAATGGCTGCTCTACAAATCTTTTAGATTCTGAATTTCAGTTCACCAGGTGAGAGCTACTCTACCCAATACTGTATTTTCTAGACAAGAGGAATGCAGCAACACTAATGATGTAGAAGAATACTGCACTTTAGGAACTTTAATTGATGTTGTAAAGGATGCACCAGAGGCACTGGGCCACCTGACGAAAATTTGTTCCCGAGACATTATAGTAATTTGGGAGAGAAATAAATTCTCACTGAACTAATGAACTGGAACAATTAATAGTATCTAACTGGGATGTATTGAGGAAACTACATTCACCACCTCCAGAGGCATGAATGACAATTCCAAACATACTTCTGCAGACTTTTTATGACCATTTATAATATATGTTGAAGCATATGACCTGTCCTACACTCCCACGGTCCAGGAAGTAACTTTTGAGTAATATGGTTAATTAGCCCTTATATGCTTTGGTGCTAGTGCCCACGTGACTGACACCAGCTGTTGGATATCTAGTTGACTTGTGCCCTGATAACTTCCACAAGCTGACCTGTACCCTACTGAATGGCACCCTCTGATGGCTACTTAGCTGGCCTGTCCCCCTGTAACTAGTGTCAGCTGACCAGTGCCTCACTGACTGGCACCCACTGATGAGTAACAGCTACCCTGTAGCCTGATAACTAGAGCCAGCTGACCGGTACCCACTGATGAATATCAGATGATCTGCACCCTGATAACTAGTACAGCTGACAGGTGCCCCACTGACCGATACCAACCGACTGGTGCCAGCTCACCGGTGCTCCAGCTAAGTGGTACTTGCTGACTGTTGCCAGCTGTCAAAAGTGTTGCCCGCAGCATCAGCTGATCCACCTTTTTGTTTACATGTCACGACTTTTGTTGTCATTCACCCTTACAATTAGTAACTCAATTTACCTCCGATTTCGAAACATTCGCTGGCGTTCCCATACTTTAGCTAATATACTTCGATCTGATTTCATAATTTTAAGTATAAAATAGGCATATTTCTACCTTTTTCCTGGCAGCAGCCAGCTTCTGCTCTCTCGCTGAATCTGCCATGTTGGAACTTGAGGATCTGAGCGTCGATTGGTCGAGACGCCTCCAGTGATGACGTCGCATAATAAGTGACGTCATACAAAACATTACAGAAAATTCTAATAAAAGGACGTACATATTTATTTATTTTTATACAAGAAGGTACATTGGGTTTGTGAGAATACATAGCATAGTATTCACAATCTTGTAAAGCCACTAGTATGCGCAGCGTTTCGGGCAGGTCCTTAATCTAACAGATAATTTTAAGTAGGTAAATTCTAGCAGAATTAATAAAATTATAACAGATACATTGCAAGAAAAAAAATGAGATGAGAGAGATTAGTACGTATATTAAGGCACACTGGTATTGTCACGGTAAAATCCCTAGGAAGAGATTCGGCCTATACTCCCTTATCGCCTATATCTACTCATTATTCTATTCTACTCCCTTATCGCCTATTCTTCTCATATATATAATGTCAACTCTTATTTTAATATTTACTCTGCTCTCCAGTTTAATTGTATATGCATTACAGTCTTCCGTATTCAGTATTACTCAACTTAATGATATAAACTAAGCAGCTATAGCTAAAGCTGTATTTACCTGACAGCCACTCTCTCTAGTGGCCTCGACGAGGACAGGAAGCCGCCGGCTATTCAAAGGTTGAACCATTTGCTGACGAATGGGTAGACACTGATCACGGCCAGCGGACAGGCATATTGCAGACTGGGAGGACCAGTATCATCAACCCAAACTGAGCTGTTTGCCATACAACAGGCATTCGCATATGTGATTGCACAAAACACTCAAAATGCAATCATACACAGACTCAAAAGCTGCACTTCAAATATTAGGGGAAAAAAATAGAAAGACAACGTGGAAATAATTACCAACATTTTGTATCTAAGAGCAGTAACTACAGGCAAAAGACTCAAAGGACTCTTGTAAGTACAAAGACAATTTACTGATTTAGACTACAACCAAATACTTTGTATTTTCTAAAGACCCACACTGTAATTTGTGATATATCTGAGAAAAAAAGGGACTAGAAACTTAGAAACAAACAGAAAATATTTAGAGAGAATTAAATTAAAATAATACTTGTCTAATATCATAAGTGGAATTATATATAATCCACCAACCCACGACAAAATGGTCAGAATGACTTACATAGATCTATCTCCTACCACCCTTATTCTTTTTTTTTTTTTGCTCAAAACAAAACACGCAACAGCTCTTCGGATGTTGGGTGCGTGCCCAAGATACAGAAAGCATTTCCTCTCTGGACTGCGACACTGAAGCGCTGGAACAGGAAACTGGGAACTCTTGAGTCTCTAATTTGCCACTGAGTTCCTCACCCACCTCCTTTAGGAACTTAAGTGCACATTTACCCCAGGGTCTCAGAGCCTATCGGCACGAACCTGTAACAACGTTCTAGGTCCCTGTACTTATTAGTCTTCGGGTCTCCCTGAAGGTGGCCGCCCCGCCTCCCTCAGCTATACTGCCAGGTAGATAGATATCAGCGCGCGCTTCTCCTTCCCAGAAGCTGCTTCCAGCAATGCTGTGGCAATGTTCTCCACTATGGGGCTGTCCCATTTGGCCTGTTTGCAGTCGTTTAGCAAAGTTGGTCGAGGTTGAGAGTTGGCAAGATTGTCCCACTGGCCATATATATTATATATATATATATATATATATATATATATATATATATATATATATATATATATATATATATATATATATATATATAGTCACATAGGGGGAGCCGGTCGGCCGAGCGGACAGCACGCTGGACTTGTGATCCTGTGGTTCGATCCCAGGCGCCGGCGAGAAACAATGGGCAGAGTTTCTTTCACCCTATGCCCCTGTTACCTAGCAGTAAAATAGGTACCTGGGTGTTAGTCAGCTGTCACGGGCTGCTTCCTGGGGGTGGAGGCCTGGTCGAGGACCGGGCCGCGGGGGCACTGAAGGCCCCGAAATCATCTCAAGATAACATAATAATCCTCTGCATTAGGGTACTGGCTTTCCCTAGCAGTCTAGATATCGTATACTCAACATACACTTAGGAGTTCCTATACCCTTGTCATGTATATATTTTGTATAATAAAAATTATATTTTATTATGTATCATGATACACATTCGTTAGTTGTGGCTTTCCTTCGGCTGTGCTATCCTGTGTAATCACCAGGACGGTAGTTTGAGGGGGTCAGGGTCACCCGTGCCCCGGGTAGTGACTGAGGTGACCTCATGTGGTGGTGACTCTCCCAGGTCAGTCGACCTCTGACACTCGTAGGTCTTGTGGCACTGTTCTGGCAGCTGTGAGAGGGTTAATGTCTCTCATATATTACGTGTACAAGTCGGTTCTATTGCAGGTATTATAAAGTAACTTTTGTTTTATTAAAATAACTGTTTTAACTTTTTTTTTTTAACTTTAATCATGATTTCCCATATGTATATTGAAGTTAAATGCAGTTTTTTTGTTATGTAAGCAGACCATAACTACAGTACCTTATTTGGCATTATGTATGTATGTTTGTATTAACACTTGAGTAACTAGCTTCACGAGATTGTTACATGCGTAGTGATTAAAATATATATGGGGTTCAAATATGTAGGTAAATATGGGGTTCAGTTCTCAAATCTATTATGAACCTCTATAACCCTTTTCTCCACGAGATGTGTATGGGGTGCATAATAAATGAATAAACTCGGTGGTTAGACTTAGGAATGCGAACGATATTATTGGTCAATGGGTTCAGGAGTTTTCCCAGTTACATACTGGAAGCTGAGAAAGTGTACAGCGTCGATAGGGCTCCGATAGAGCTTCGATAGAGCTATAGTAGAGCTGCGATAAGCCAGCGCTAAATCTTCAATATGAAGAATGTTGCTGCTCTCTGATTGGCCAAACGAAACACAGTAGTGACCTCTATCGGCACGCAGGTGAACCAACAATTTTCTTCCTAAGTATACCTTATTGAATCGCACCTAAGCATCTTCTTAGGGCGCACTTAGGAACCTTCGTAGCAAACCCACTTACGAAGAAATACACAGAGCTTCCTGAATCTAGGTCCTAAGAAAGTGTACAATGTCGCTAATACTGAGACTCGAAAAATAGAAGTGGATATCTATTTTCAGTAATCCAGGCAGTTTAATTCTTGTATTGATCCTTCATGTAAATTTTTTGTTCATTAATTCCTATTTATAAAACATTTGATCCATATTCTAATTCCTTGCTACATCCCTATTTGCCTTACTTCTTCCTATTCCTGTTTATCATATTTAACTGCTGCGTTACAAGCTCTGTGAAGTGGAAAAAAAGTTTTTTTCTTAATTTTGTTGATATCCTTCCATGTCCGGCCTAGCGGGAATTGAGAGAGGAAGCTACTATATATTGATTGATTGATGAAGATTAAACCACCCAAAAGGTGGCACGGGCATGAATAGCCCGTAAGTGGTGGCCCTTTTGAGCCATTACCAGTATCAAGAGCTCATACTGGAGATCTGTGGAGGCGCGACTGCACCCTGCGTGACGGGAGATGTCTCCCGGACCAAGTGGTGACCAGATGGTCTAGGGAACAGTGATCATAAAGAAATCAGATTTAGCATAGAATGGAATAGATCTGTAGGAGAAAATTCTGTTAAAGTACCTGTGCAGACGATGAGTCACAATAACGTGGCTGAAGTATGTTGACCAGACCACACAATAAAAGTTGACTACTATATAAAGGATTCCCATACTATATATCTATACTCCTGTGTATGTCAGTTGTAAGAGTCCTATATATGGTAGTCATATGCTCCTAACCGTACGTTGTAGTGGACCCTTCTCCTGTTATAAAATATTCAGGCAAGCCATGAACGAATTTGCAATTCTCATCCATATTTCGTTGTTTAGTGCAGTGTTGTGTGTGTGTGTGTTGCTGGACCCACACTGGTGTATATATATCTTGTATGGGTCGGATTGTATAGTTTAGTTATAGATGATGTTCAATATGGTTGGTGTCACGTTAGAGTAAAGTCTCTCTCTCTACGTTAGCTTCATCAATGTTTCATCAGCACTAGCCTCATCATGTGTACTAGCTACATCAACACTAGCCTCATCATGTGTACTAGCTTCATCAGCACTAGCCTCATCATGTGTACTAGCTACATCAACACTAGCCTCATCATCTGTACTAGCTTCATCAACACTAGCCTCATCAACGCTAGATGCATTAGGGAAATTTTACATTCCAGGATTTTACTAATTGACTCATTGACAGTGAATCAAGAGCTTGGCCATACAACCAGCATATCCTAATATGATTGTTATAAAGTTGCAAGTTGTGTGATAGGAAGAACTATACAAATGACAAACAAGTCTGAGTACGTCCCTGCTATACACGTTGTCTTCCTTGAGTGCCTTATCGAAGAAAATTGCAATACTCTTGACGCTTACTGGGGACTGAGGGCCGGAATTGAGATAGACGTAAAATTTCCTGATTGTTGACATATTTGTTGCGGGAAAATTGATTGTGGGCTGGTAGCCTACCGAGTCTGCTGGTACTCCATTGTGATCTTTTATCAATATATTAAAGCTTGTCTACGAGGTCTAAATAAATTGTTTATTCACCATTACCCAGATTAGATTTTTCTGACGTGTTGCAGAAACTACAGTTCCAAGAGTGGAGAGTCACCCAGTGGCCACTGCAGGTGACGGGCCGAGCCTCTTCTCAAGTGTGTTGTTGCCTTGAAGTTATAACTCGTATAGTCCTTAAAACAGAACTTAATTTTGGGAGGATATAAACAGGAGTTGTCATGCATAGGGTAATAGGCCCTCCTTTATTATATTCTTATAGCTGGATTTAGCACTTCTCATCATTCTTGCAATACCTGCAATTGGTTTAGGTGTTACACAGCACAGCAATGTTGGTGGACAATTATACCATTGGTCCAATGAGAAGCTCAAAGTATACTGAGCAAAAACGGCTACAGTAATAACGAAACGATTTATCTCTGAAAGAAGGACGCTGACAGTGTTGATATTACCAGCTGTCGAGGGCTGTTGATATTTTGCAGCTGGTGAGGGCTGTCGACTTTTTTTGCAGCTGGTGAGGGCTGTCGA